ATACTCTCTCTTTATTTGCCCTCATTTAACGGGAGTTTTGTCATAGATTTATGGGGCTTGCGGAAACGCACCATGTTTGCATAGATCTTGCTTTGCTCTGCTGTACTTCCCATTTTCGCCTCACTTTTGAGGAGAATTTTCAGCCTGTCAAAGCAGCAAAAGTCAGTGCCGTTTCGTACCTTACAATGCTTCGACACGTCGCGAGATTGGACTTTATATTGTAGATTTATAAAAAGAACATTTTTGCCGAGAACATGTAACTTTTGTTTTTCTGCGGGGACATTTGTCATTCGGTCCCCAAAGAATAAATTGTGGGCTGCGGTAATCACGCACGGCATGCGTATTGCCTGAACATCAGCATGACGACACTTTAATACAGTCTGGACTTACATACTGTACAATGTCATCTACTTTACGGAAAACAGAAACCCATTTACTGCAGCTCAACAGCTTATTTGGTTGTGACACAGCCCCAAATCCATCATTCGCGCATTTCCAAAGACTGCTTGAAAGTCGGCTCTGAAAGAACTCAAAGGCAGGAACCAGCCGTGTGAAATAGACTCACCGTGGAACACAAAAGCTGCCATGCTACTGAAATACAAACACATCTATGCCTGTGAGGCATTCTGTAATGCAACATGCACTTTCCTCTCTCTTATAAAGTTGTATGACTCAATGATATTAGGTCAAAAATATCATTTTGTTTTAGATGTGGCAGGGTTACCTTTTAAAAATTCATTCAGCTGTATGAGTGAATTTGTTAGGAAGTAATATGTCACATTGCTGCACTTTAAAAAAAATCACTGCTGTAAATATGCATTGCTTTAAGAACAGATTTACTGGTTATTAAAAGGTAGCAGAAGTATGCTTTCTTAAAAAGACTAAATTATACATTATGTTTTTGTATGACAATGTATGAATGTCTTTGGTCAGGTAGTTAATCTGCCTAACAGTGCATGATATTGTTCACTAATGCCAAGCTACATATCAACAAGTAAAAGTTTGGAATAATGTCTGATGTCTGTTGCACTGACGAGCCCATTGGATGGTCCTCTGAGCCATATAATTAGACTAATGATGGGGTGACTGAGTTTCACAGGCTGTATTAGAGAACTGATTAACAGATCTGTGTTAACGTGTCAAGAGCTTCCACAATTAACTTTTCAATGACTATTGAAATAAAAATCTTTTGGATTTGGCACATAGTACATTTATTGCTTATTTTCCAGCAAACCATATGATGTGATACTTGGCATTCCTGGTAAAAAAAAAACAAAAAAAACAACAACAACAACAACAAAAAGGTCTATTACGGAAGCCCTGAACCGCAACCTAAAAAAAAAGTCAGTAAAAAAAAAAAAAATTAAAAAAAAAAAAATCTGTAAAAAAAAAAAAAAAAAAAATCTAGCATTTCGAGATTAAAGTCGAAATGTTTCGAGATTAAAGTCGAAATGCTTCGAGATTAAAGTCGGAATGTTTCAAGATTAAAGTCGAAATGTTTCGAGATTAAAGTCGAAATGTTTCGAGATTAAAGTCGAAACGTGCATTCATAACAGTGCGCGTCCACTGGCTCAGAGCGTGCGCGTGTGTGTGTGTCGAACTGCCATGGATAAACCCAAAATAGTAGCTTTTTACTTTTATCTGGGCTTTCAACAAAATTCTACACCCGTCACACGTGCTAGTGGCAGTGTTTCTGAGGTGTTTTCGTGCTTGTCTAGTCAACACTATCTGGGTCGAGAACACAACAGTAACTGTTCGGTCTCCCTCTTTACAGATTTTTTTTTTTTTACTGACTTTTTTTTTTTTTTTTGGTTGCGCTTCAGGGCTTCCGTAGTCTATCCTTTATTAAATGATCAATAAAATGTTCAGAAATTCAAAAAAGGTGGTTGGACATGTACATTTACTGAACTCGTATCGAACCGTGACCCCAAACCGTGACATGTACCGTTAGCCAATAGCTAAAATACTGAAAGAAAAAAAAATGTATTTTTAAAGATAGATTCTATATAAGCTGAAAAGAAGACTAAAATGAAGAAAGCTTGTGGTTGAATTAATGTTTTGGTAAATGACTGTGTTTTATGTGAGTGAGTCAGAGAGAGAGGGGAATCTGGTGGAGTTAAGCGTGCAGCACTTTTTTGTGTTCTCCAGCACAATCCATTAATCATAGCACAGTGCGGCAGCCATATTCTTCTGTGTAGTGGCTGTACTTTCATTACAGGAGCCTAATTAAATAGCTCTGTGAACTGGAATCTGAGATTCCTCTGTTACAGATTATCATTAATTATGGTGAAAGAGCTGGGAGATGTTGGACTCAATTATACCCAGCTCAAGGCTGGCATGCTGTGATTCATGGCCCTCGCCTGCACACCGACGCTTCTCCGCCGCTTATCACACCATCCCACTTCTGTAAATTGGGCACTGCCAGCCGACACACAGAGAGCCATGGGCAGCGTACTTCATTACAAGCATGTTGGAGAAGCACAGACCAATTAAGGGTCGCAGATTTTCTGGGAAGGACAGAGTAAAGGATTATTACTGTCTTTTGTGTGTGTCTTACTATTAAGAAAATATTCAGAAAGAATTACAGTGTGTGCCTGCATTTGTTTTCTTTTTTCTTTAATTAGTCTATTGCACGGAATAATGTCATAACATGGTACTAAATACCTTGAGCTTAGCATCAAATACACATAAAAAAGATGTTTGTTGTCAATTTTAGAAGGTACATTTTTGGCCGTCATTGTTTGGTCCATCAACTGTTTAGTTACTGACATTCTTCAAAATATGTTCTTTTGTGTTTAACAGAAGACAGAAATTCATACAGGTTTGGAACAACTTGAGGCTGAGTAAATTATTTTCCTTTTGTGGGTGAACTATTAGCCTGGCATGCCAGACCCGCATCAAGATGTTTGGTCTGGCAACCCAATCTCACGACCAAGTCGTACGAATTCGACGAATGATTAAAAAGTGGCTAATTCGTAACAATTCATACGACCTCACTCGTACGAATTAATACGATTTTGCTAAATCGTACATATTTTACGAATTGGCCAATTCGTATGAATTCGTACGAATGACCTACCCCTTACCCCGCCCCTAAACCTAACCATCACGTGGGTTTAAACAAATCGTACGAATTAGTACGAGTGAGGTCGTACGAATTAGTACGAATTAGCCACTTTTTAATCATGCGTCGAATTCGTACGAATTGGTCGTGAGATAGTGTTGGGTCTGGGAACTCATCATTGACAGGGCTCAATCCGAGGGGCGGGAAAAACGGCTGTCTTTCAAATTCTCTCTGCACGCAATTGGATAGCGCTACAACCAATCAGAGCAACGAAGAAGGTGACGTAGTAAGCGGAGCAGGTTGATATATTACACTTTTACCGTATCCAGTCCATAGCTCGCTGTCAACATTGAACATTAAAAATAAGGGAGATTTCCCAGAATATATCCCCAAAATGAGGGACTTTTTTGTTTTTTACACGACCCACTGAGTGCTGGAGATGATTCAGGAGAGGTCTGCCTTTACCGATTAGAGGGCGCGGTTACACGGAGTAAAGCCTTTATACTCAACACGTCTGTACGAGCATGGCAAAAATGACAAGTTGATCGTTTCCCCCATGCTTTCACCCCAGCTTTTTTGTAACAGCGCGCGCGGCGCCACATCCGAGGACAGACGACTTCAAACAAAATATGTCCGAGCTTGCTCTGACCGTCACAACTCTGTCGTCATTATGTTAAGCCCGCCCGCCGACTCTATACACAATGTGATTGGCCAACCCGGTCTCATCCCAAGACGTCATATAACTGACGTTTTGGGACGTCTTTTGACCATACGTCAATATTCGCCTTTTTAGGGCCCCCTTAAACGTCGGTAGATGAGGTTATGGGATCCTAACTCTACCCCAGACCTAAACTTAACCCTAAACCTAACCCGTCACCTAACTGACGTTAAAGGTAAAGCGTCAGTTGTATGACGGCACGAGATCCCCATCTACCGACGTTTAAGGGGGACCTAAAAAGGCGGATATTGACGTACGGTCGAAAAACGTCCCAAGACGTCAGTTATATGACTTTTTGGGATGAGACTGTAGCCTCGTTTCCATCCACTTTTTGCGCTGTTATGTTATCGACAAAGTGAATATGCGAAAAAAAAAAAAATACGAAATTTGCCGTCTCCTGACTGTTTCCATTCAATTGACCTTTTACCGATAAGATTGTGTGCGTGATGACGTCACGAATGACGAAAGCGATTTGTCGCATATGTTTTGGTGTATCGCAAAAAAAAAAGTGACTTCAGCCGTTTCCATAAACATTTTTTTTTATTTTTTTTTTTATCGCAAATTCTACCTTTTGAGGTTCCAGTCACACCCTCAACACCGAACAAACAAACAAACAAACAAGAAAATGGAGAGAGTATTCAGGCAGTTAATTGAAATTTGCCAGCTTACTGTCATTTCAATTACACAAATAATTGCAAGTGTCCGAAATATCAGAAGACGGCGGCAGAATGAAGCAGTTGCTCATCTGATAGGGCTCGAAGTAACTACCCATATGCGACGAAGCCCAAGCGTCTGGGAGAGACCGCGCAATAAGGCGTTCTGGGAGGAAATTGTGGAGAGACACTTTACAGAAAGTCTCTGGGTGCAACATTTTAGAATGACACGGCCGACGTTTGAGATGCTGTGTGGATTCATTGGTCCTGATGTTGCGCCTACCCCAGGTTGCCACCGACCACCGGTTCCAACACGAAAGCGGATTGCCATTGCCCTGTACAAGCTGGCAACCTGCGCCGAGTACAGAGTGGTAGGCGAAACTTTCGGGGTTAGTAAAACAACCGTCCATCGATGTGTATATGCTGTGTGCACATCTATTAAAGAAAAATTAATGCGGCGTTATATCAGGCTGCCAAATGTAGCGGAGGCCAATGAAATAGCATACCGTAATTCCTTGGCGCATCTTGTGCCACAGGTTTACGGTGCGCTGGATGGCACGCACATCCCAATTCTCCCCCCGACAGAAGGCTACCGCGATTACATTAATCGCAAAGGGTGGCCATCTATTGTTCTCCAGGCACTTGTTGATGACAGGTGCATGATACGAGACATATGTGTTGGCACTCCTGGAAGTGCCCATGACGCAGCTGTGTTTGCAGCCTCAGATCTGTACAGGTAAGCCTAACTATTCAACATATTTTACCAGGCCGCAAATAACTTTACACACAATAACATGTATTTTAAAGTTGTGCACTGTAAAAAATATTAGTTCATCTTATTTTATTTGACAAAAGAAAGTTGTAATAAATCATGAAAATAATTTGTGTTGTCATGATTAAAACAAGCTAACAATTGTTGTTCTGTGTCTTACAACTATATGAATTATGCTGCTCTTAATTGAATGGTAACAGCTACAAAATGGTAACATCTACATTAACAGGTTTCTTTAGTCATTATTTAACATCACTGAACCACATTAATTTATACAAAAAATGTTGGGTGTATTATATTATGTATAAATATTATGGGAAAGAATTTGAAATATTTGCAATTTAATTTAAAAAAAATTGAAATTTTGAAAATATGTGAGGTGTGTCAAATCTTTTTACCTGCACAGTAAATGAGCTCTGCTGTATTTTTATTACTCAGACACCCTGAGAGACACCCCCAGGCTACACTTGTTGTGGAGGGAGTCCAGGTGCCTCTGCTAGTGGCAGGAGACCCAGCCTATCCACTACTGCCTTGGCTCATCAAAGGTTATTCTGGACCCAATTTGTCAGAAGAACAGGAAGCATTTAACGGTCACTTGAATGGATCGAGAGTTAAGGTGGAGCACACATTCGGACACCTGAAAGGAAGATGGCGCATCCTGGCAAAACGGTCAGACATTCACCACTCTTTCATGCCTACAGTTGTGGCAGCATGTTGTGTACTACATAACATCTGTGAGATGGAGAAGCAAGGATCCATACAACCTTGTGAAGACTCATGTAATGAAGGGGAGAGACAACTGTGTTGCTTGCAATGCAATGACCGACCTTCTGCACAAGCTGTGCTTATCAGGGACACTCTCATGCAATATGTAGCTCACTTAAGAAGGCAGTAGGTTGTAATGAGAAAATGTATTTGAAACATTAAAATCAAATTTGTTACTGTCTAACTATTAATTTAAGTCACAAACACAAACATATTAATAGTCATTTTATTTGTAACCAAAATATTTGGTACATTTTCTTTATAAAGATTTTATATAGAGCCTATATTTAACCTGTTGTAAAGCTTTGTTGTATGAGTAGCACATTTAAGGCAACATAAAACAGATTAATTTCAAATAAGATATTTCTTCTGGTACATTAAAGTATACAAAACAAAGTTGCAATGTTTTGTTTTGTTTTCTTGAATACAAGAACAATGGTAATAGTGGAAATAAATGGCATATAAATTAAACTCAAGATACTCTTAAGAGGACAAACTGAAAACAATCTCTGCAGGCATTGTTTTAAATGAACAAACCATAAACTTCACCAATAACCAAAACTACTTAATCCAAGTTTAGGTATGTGCTGAATGACATATTAGGATGAGTATTCAAAGAAGAAGGTGCTGAAATGCCTGCATGGTTGTAGGGGAGATGGGACAATGTATGATTAGAGCAGCTGGGTTGGTTGTGCAAACTCTCTGGTTGCCTCAAACCAGCCATCACCTCAGATGCACGAGCATGCCTTTCTGCAGCATTAGCACAACGCTCAAAACATTGAACAGCTTGAGAGATAACAGTGGCAATTGACTGAACGACTTGCTGATCTCGCTCTGCTTGCTCACGCTGCTGATCGAGGAAATCATGAAACATGGCTTTCAACTCAGCCAACTGCTTCCTTTTTGGGGCATGCTGATGACTTCGCCTCCATCTTGATGCATTGGGTGGTGGGTCAGAATCCTGTTGAACAGTTTCATCAGGCTGGTCCATGGAGGGTGACTCCGTATTTGAATCAGTCACTGGTCCACTATCAGAGGGGGTAAGTGAATCATTTGGTAGACAATCTAGACAATCCAAAAACTTGAGTTAGTTTTCAAGATTTTAAACAATATAAACACTTTATTAAAATTTAATTATTTTTTTACTTGAACATTCACAGCTCCACAAGACAATCATATAATTCACATTCATCATAATCTAAATACAGCATACTCATTAAGGAGCATTACAAACATATCAAATTGAATAAGCAAAGCATTTTTTCTTCAATTTTATCAACACCAAAATACATAAAAATGACTGGAAATGGGAAATGCTTGCAATTCACGACTTACCTGTCGACACACTGCAGTCATCTTCATTTTCCCGCCCTTCACAGAGCTCAGGGGTCTCTGTTTAATACAATGAAAAAATAACCTAGTTTATTTGTAAGTCTTTGAATAAACTTTAGCTTTTCACTTTTAGATAGCACTCGTACTGTAACATTACATCTCTAGTAGAAGTATGCTTCTTACAAGTCTATACAAGTCTGTTAAAAAGCAGTTTAATGTACACTCTTATTATTACACTTCTTAAAGACACTCTGTTTAAAGGTTTTAGACACTTTTTGCACAGAAACTGCACAACAAAATATTATATTACATAACATTAAATAGAACTGTTCGTGATACAACACATTCAAATTACCGTACAGAACTTACCAGAGCTGTTGATGTTTGTAGAAAACGATGATACTATCGGCCTCTGGCCCAGTATGTGATCCATTTCACTGAAAAATTTAAACTTCGTCCTCTTTTTCCCCCCAGAACCACTACGTGAAAGGTCACGCTTTTCTGCCAGGTAACGCTGCTTCAATACCTTCCATTTGCTGCGTAGAATGTGCCATGGCTTGGTGTAGCCATTTCTTGCCATTTTTCGTTGCAACTCCTGAAAGGTTGCAGCATTTCTCTGTCGTTTCCCGTCAAAAATACACGTTATATCGTTTTCTTCCATTAAATGAAGAAAATAACGAGTCTCCTCGTCCGTCCACGAATACCGCTCCGAGTCCGCCATGGTGTTTGTTGTGACGACGACTGCACCTTGCGCGTGAGGAAATAATCACGTGACACCACTTTTTTTTTTTTTTTTGCGTGAAAGCCCTTTTTCTCGACAAAAAGTGTTTCCAAACTAGTTTTTCGCGACATTTAAAATATCGACATAACATTTATGCGCTAAAGTTAAACGGAAAATGATTGTGTCGACATTTGCAAAAAAAAATCGATAATTGGCGTTTCCATCAGCTATATCGGTAAATATTTTGATGCGCAAAACCTTTTTTCGCAAAAAAACCCTTGGATGGAAACCTGGCTTGTGTTAGATTGGCCCGCCCTGAATGGGGTTTTTCCAGCAAAAACCTCTAATGAGAGTTGCTAGACCACACTGGCAGCGAAATGATTTTTGCTGCCACTAGGGTGCGTCTAGATTTCTAGGCTAGTGAACTATCACTTTAAGCTCTTTTTTTTTTTTCAATAAAATCAGTCTATATGACGGCTGTATTTAAAGTCTTCTGAAGTCACATGATGAGTGAAGTACATACAAAGTTATTTACAGAAATGCTGGGCCTCCACCACATGCGATGAAACACATGATCCAAAGATCATTGATGTCACTGACATCCAACATACGCAATAGATTTTATGGTAACACTTTACTTAAAGCCTTTGTGTATACTGCATTATAAACGTATTTTGATGTATTTTGCCTTGTAATGCATTGGCAGTGGCGTGCGTGCAGTCTATAACCTGTGCATACCAGCATACCAAAGCCATTTGAGTGAATGAGTTTGTGGACTTGATAATTAACATTAACATAACGCTTGCGTAATAATATGTTGGTAATGCGTATATATAATGTCTTCAAATATATTGTAATATAATGTACATTTTAAATTCCTTTATGATGCGTTACACAAAAGGGCTTTAAGTGTTAAGGCTTTGATTTTTATTTGAGAGGCACAAACAAGCTATATTTTGCTATTTTTCCTCTCATAGAACTTGCCACAATACACCTGAGGCATACAGCACACATCAAACTGCTTTTAAAGACACCTTTTGAGCTGAAATAACTAATTTCATTACGTAGCTTTTTTGTTCAGAGTTAACCACATTTGAATAAGCCAATAATCAATCCTTCTTCCAAAACATGTATTTTTCTTTACCTGATTGACAATAGTAAGCCTATTATAACTGTTTATATTTTACTAGCTGTGATGGTTTTCATGAGACATAGGTGCCTCATCATATCCGTTAATAGAGAAAAGTTGCTCTGGCTATACTTCGATGTGTGTCTGGTGTGGGAGAGGCATAGTTTAATTGTCACAACAAGTGAGAACTGAGGGATCTGAAATATTGTAAAAGCGATGTGGAGATGATGATTGTTTAACACGTGAGTAAGGTATTTTAATGAACAGATAAATTGCCATATGACACTTTTCTAACAAAGAGCATTATCTATTGTGGAGGGTCATATTTATCTGTACAGTCACACAGAGCCGAAGCACAACCAAAACAATGTTCTTCTGCAGAATGCATGCAGTTTTTTTTTTTTTTTCACTTTAGATTACACACATATATGGACTTTATATTTAAAAATTATGCATAGGATTTTTCAAAAAGAAAAAAAAAAAAGAAGAAAAAAATCTTCTTTTGTTAAAAAAATAAATCAATATGGATTTACAATGACAGTACGGGATTAGAACTGTAGGGGAAAGAGGGGAGGTGCTGTTACAGCTTTGCTTTTAAAATTTGTATTTATTTATTTTTGCGTTATGTCTCAATATATACTGTACGTCACAAAATATAAATGCATATAATTCCCATTTTTATCTGCCTTATCCCTAAATGTAAATTTGCGTCAATTATCAGTGTGGTTGATAAAACTTACCTCATTTCTGTTGGTTGGAGGTGGGGTGGGATATAACACAAATAGAACAGGATCATCAGTTTACGTTTTGTGTGATTTTTGTACATGCAAATATATAATTGATAAAAAATTAATTGATCAAAATTATTTTAATTATTCATTATTTTTAGACTTTTGTATTTCAAGCAATTGATTAAAGCTTGCACTGGGCGTTATTATTATTATTATTATTATTTTTTTTTTTGAGGCAAAATATTTATTTAAGCTTTTATATTTATATACTTTAGTGCTTATTGATAAGGCTTAGTATACAAAGTTGGTGAAATGTGGAAAAAGTTGTATTCATGTGAAAGTGAAATTATTCATACTTTTTATATTATTTGAAGGGTTCGAAAACCCAGAGGAGCAATAAGACATAAGAGAAACATAAGTTCTGGTAAAGCCGAGGCCTTAACCGTTTGGTCAACTCCATATGCCACAGAGGGCAGCCGTTTTAATATATATGAAAATCACCTATCTAGTATGCACTATAGGGAACTGAACAGAGCATATTTTCATAGAAAAGAGAAGGCTCTGATTGTAGGACATGTTTATCTTAAGAGTACTCACATTTCTATTGTGTAGAAACATTGCGTAGAAAATGTGAGTGTGGAGAAGTCTTCATACAGAATGTAATAAAACCATGAAAAATAAAACGATATAATTCTGTATCTTATTTAAATAAATTGATTATAAAATCAATTATTTATTATTACAAATAGAAAGGAGAGAGAGAGAGAGAGAGAGAGAGAGAGAGAGAGAGTATGCATGCCTGCTGGAGGGGATCGTGCAGCTCTGCAAATGTAATACACTGCTGTCAAGACAGAGGTCAGCTGGCAATCTGAATTTTAAAAGGAATATGAATAATATTCTGTTTTATTTTCAAAAATGAACTTTCTGCCCTCTATCATGGATCCAATATATGTCTTAATCTAAGGGGCTCTGCCTGCCAGGGGGTCTTGGATGCCGGCTTTGACTTTAACACCTAATAAGGAAATGTGTGTGTTTCCCTATCCTGTCTTCTGCCTTTAAAGTACCACACAAATGCGCTTTTACACATGCACATGAACATGGATTAATGTTTACATATAAACAAAACATATAAACATGTCTGTATTCTGCATGTGACTGTCAACCAATAGAAATGTGTTGTTTTAAAGACAAACTTTCATTGTTAACATGAATTAAGAATCAATTTTCTCACCAATTTTTTAGCCATCACTTTGTAGCGAAACAATTATATTCGGATGTTTTCAGATGTATTTAGTGTAATTATTTGTTATAGATTTATTAAACCAAGTAGTTTAAATTATGAGCTAGCTTGTCAAATTACTGTTCCAAATTAACTTCTCCAAAACACTTTGTAGTTTCTTAAAGTAAAATTCAGAGTTATGAAGTTTAAAGCATGAATACACGATTAAACTAATCCATAACCAACCAATCCTAGAGCCAATAGTGTATTCCCCTATATACCTGGATTTATGTCCATTTAAGAAATTTGTTTTGCAATATAATACGTGTGTAGCACTTTTTCCATTAATTGGACAAAATTAAAAAGCCATTTTCACAAAAAAAAAATGTGCCTTTACAATAACTTTAACTGATGCTGTCTGAGTCTACAACCCCCCACACTGCTGTAAAGAACACAGCCACTTAGCTTTGACTGACACTAATTTTTAATTCATGAAACATCTAAAACCCTCTTATTTCCCAGCTTATATCTGTCAGACGATTACAAAAGACAGACTGGGCCACATCCGTAAGGTGCCAGATCTGTGATCATGTCAGATCGCTGCATTTGATATGATGCAGCGTTAGCTGTGAGGGCTAACGTGCCTGCGAGAATAAAGAAGTACATGAGACCTGTCAAAGCCACAGCAACATCATTGCCGTGACTGATCTGAAGCCTGTGAGACTGTCAACTCTCTGGCTAGCCCAGTCAACATAAATAAATGCAGACATTCCAGAGCAATAATGGCATGGGGGATCTGGGCTGGCGGCCGCCATTACTTGTAATCCAACCTTACGTATGACACAATGTGAAAAATGAGCCTCTGTGCTGTTGGGTGCCCATTAGTGAGCTCTCACATTATCTCTCAATGGCTGATAGTTCTTTTGAGTCATTCACTGGGCTTTTGACTGCCATTCTGCTTTAAATGCAGGGTTAGAACCTCGCTAAGCGGAATAAAAGGAAGGAAGGGAGGAAGGAAGGAAGGAAGGAAGGAAGGAAGGAAGGAAGGAAGGAAGGAAGGAAGGAAGGAAGGACGGACGGAACGAAGGAAAGAAAGAAGGTAGAAAGGAAGGAAGCAAGAATGGAAGAAAGGAAGGAAGGAAGGAAGAATAGAATGAAGGAAGGAAGGAAGGAAGCAAGAATAGAAGCATGAATCGAAGGAAGAAAGAAAGAAAGAAAGAAAGAAAGAAAGAAAGAAAGAAAGAAAGAAAGAAAGAAAGAAAGAAAGAAAGAAAGATAGATAGATAGATGTTGAGGAGTAACCAACTAAAAACACTAACATTTCTTTATAAGAATTTTTCTTTTAAAGCTTTTCAAGAATAGTGAATAAATCTAACGGCCAAGCAAGCTGGGGAACCAAAAGTGTTTACATTACCCTTCTTTATGATTCATAGTCAGTGTTGTGCAAGTTACTTCCAAACTGTAATACATTAGGTATTACTTGTTACTGTTATTTAAAAGTAATTCATTACCTTACAATATTATTGTCCCAGAATTGTAATGAGTTACATTACTCATGTATTACTTTTGAGTTACTTTCACCAAAATAACTAAGTAGAACTTAACTTTGGGGCTGTAACGATATGCAATATGAAACCAAAATCGCGATTCGCCACATCCATGAACCTACAGAATCGCGACACACCTCTTCCAACTCCAGCGTTATTCTCCTTACCGTCCAGATCCAATGCTGCCTTATCTTTAAATTAGGCTATTAGTATTATTTGAAGTTAACATTATAAAATAAGTAGACCTACACCACAAAACTAGTTGAGGATAAATTATTTAAAATTGGGGAAGTCCAGCATTATGGACATGACATTTGCAGTCAAAACTTGAAATAAAAATTCTCAGAAAATTCATGTATTGAAACGTATATAGGCTACTTCCTTAAAGGACTCCAGACATTAGACAAATATCAGTCTATGTTTTATGTTTAATATTAGGGAAAAGACACACATTCATG